TCAAAGTGAATGCCTAAGTGCAATGCACAATGAGGTGCACCATAATACATTCCAGTTGCACCAAAAGAGGTGTGCAAAGTCTTACGGTTTGTTGTCTTTAGAAAGCAGCCACAGCCTAAGTAGAAAAGCCTGTCCCCTGCCAGCATGCTGCAGAGAATGACTTTTGCTCTCACTGTGGAAGCAGTGGTCTTTGTTCACTGGTTTGATCCCTCAAGTAAAGTCAGAGCTAGGACTCTTCAATCAGAGAGCTTAAACTTTGCTGAATGCAATGCTATAGTTGAAACTCAGCAAACTAGTAGATACAGTAAGTAGACAAGGATTAGAAACTATGCCAGATTTGTATTGCTCTCTGTGTCCCTGTTTGGGAAAATTTACTCCAAGGTACATCTAAAATCAGTGTATCATGAGTAGAGGGGAATCCTTCCAATAGGTAAACTTGTTTTACTGCAAACTGTATGAGGGAGGGAATCCTATATGTAGCGTTCACCCCCTTAGGAGCTGCTGAGTTTGATTGGCCAGACCGGGCAACACGCATTTTCCACATCGTCACACACACAGAGTCAGTAAACAGTCTTTGAGCTTGGTTTTGTTATCTTTATTGAGGGGTTAACAACTTGGATGAGGTTTAGGGGTATATGGGATGTCCAAGGAACTGCAAACGTGAAGACAAACTTCTTAGCAAACTGTACACTGTACAAAAATGTGGATCAGCAAAACAGCACTGTCTCTTTAAGGAGCATTGAAGTCCCCTTGATGTACCTCCTCAGACCCCAGATGAATTACCCAGCTGCACTGAGGGTATCCCTGGGCAAGGAATTCCAAGATCTGCCAATTAAGTAGTCCCAGATGAGAACTAGTTGGGTCTTACACCTGGCTGCCCTCTCCCTTTATCTGGCCCGGAGGTGTAGAAGTGCTTACATTGTCCTGGCCTGTTAGCTTGTGGGTTGCAGCTGTTTTCAGGCCTTATGCTGGGCTGGCTCCTTCCCTGCTGACAGGATTGTCCTTCCTAGGAGACTTGGCACAGCGGAGATTCTTCTGTCCAGCATCCAGCCTGTAGGTAGGCTCCCTTCCCAGTCTTCATTCTCTAGCACATTCCTTCAGTCCATCTTCCACATGACTCCAACTAACTCTGCTGCACAGGCTCTGTCTTATTTAAGGGTTACCCTTGGCCACCATGCTCGGCCTCCTGCCTGAGGATTGGCCAAGTTCCCTTAAACATGCAAATCTGGGCCTCCTCCCTTCCTGCACCCCTCTTCCAGAAAGTACCAGAAGTTTCTGGAAGGGTGGGAGGGCTCCATAAGCCCTGTCCTGTAGAGCCTCCTAGCCTGTCCTGAGGCAAACTCACTATCTCACCCCCAGACTGACTCATCCCAGGCTTCTAACAAGCCTATAACTAAAATACAACAAATCCTACCTAGCTAAGCTAGAGGGCGCTACATATGTCTTTGGAGAGACCTCTTCCTGGTCCCCTTTACATTTGTGTATTGTGGAAAACTGTATTGCCACAATGTGTAGCATTATAACTGCTCTATGTACATGTAGCACCCCCTAATGCCCAAAACATGAGGAACCCCCAGGGCAGGGAGGGCTGACATTTCACCAGGGCTGAGTTTCATGTTAAAATTGAGGGATTGAGAAACACTGGGCGCCAGTCACTTTAAATGTCTTTTATTGCACAAGGAGAAAGGGATACGGGCTGCAGATACCCAAAGCAACACTAACAGACTTCTAGATCTGCATCTAGCTTTTACAGCATAAAGGGCCTTTAAGCCAGCACCACCAACACTGTAGGAGGCTCCTCCAGCTGGCTAGCAGACTTTTCTGTATTTGATCCAACACCTTTGTGCACCATCCTAGACCTCACAAGAGAGTCACCAGGTCACTATGAGAAAACCAGCCTTCTTTCTGGTTCTTTCGTCCAGCAGGGTCCTCCTCCTGGGTCTCAATCTTGGTACAGCTTTCTCTTTAGTCAGGCATGACAGCTTCTGGCCTAGCTCTAGCTCCAAGCCCAGAGGCTATGGGAATAACAGTTCAGGCAAATTCAGCAGCACCTCCCCAGGCCATTGCCAGGGGGTACGAAAATGTGCATTTCCTATTTTTGTTTTAGGAGCCTGTAAAGCATTGCACCAGTGATCAGTAGATCGCTGGTGCCATGCTAGCCTCCTGCAGCCTGTCAGTATAATCAGTCTGCTAGTACCTCATACGAGCAGACAGCTTTACACTTGCAGAATGAATTAACTATCACAGCACTCAACAGCGCCGTATTAGTTGATTGAATACTACAAGCCAAGGCTGTCGGTACTTGTAGTTCATTTAATCACAGGGATCTGTGAATCAGTGATGTGGCCGTGTGGGCGGAGAACCTGCATGTCTACACTGTCTTTGAATTGTGGCAACATTTACAGGGAGAAGATCCGGCTCGCTGCCACAAGGAGGGGGGAAATAGAGGGCGAGAAGGTTCTGAGGCTGAACATGTTTACACCTAAATATGGGTGTAACATATAACATGTTCAGAAGGGTGAACTTATCCTTTAAGTGTGAATGGGCTCTCAAGGAGGAAAAACATTGTTGAGTAATTTTTACCCTTTTACCAAAAACTAAAAAGACCTTTTGGCTTTAGATATACTTTAATCCTGTATAGAAAAGTCAGTGGGAATACAGTGTGAAGGTACAATGCATGCATAGTAAATATCTATACACTGCACATTATTCTCATGTCTACAGTTGTATGCACAGGTCAGTGTTAAGTGTTTCTCTTGTTATGTAGGTGATCTGTTGTACTCGGATTTCCAGTCAATTAATCAAAACCTGGCATCGGCAGCAATCAATGGAAGTCTCAGCGGTTACCTGAATGTCACAGTTTCGTCACTGTCAGTGTCTACTCCTGTGCCACCTCCAACTGATGCAGCCTGGAGCCAGGTAATACCAGTAGTGGGACTGATGGAGTATGTGTGTGGTCACCTCTCCCTGTACTAGTCAGTGAATAACAATCTGACATCAGCTGCACTCAGTACTTCAATGAACTCAGTTACCTGCATGTCAGTGACAGTGTTGGCCATTCTGAAGGTCAGAATTCCATATGGGTTGCCTGAAGCAAATTATTGGTTGTCCTATTGCAGGGACACATCACAGAATAATGGCACTTTTAGACACTGTTACTGTCAGGAATGGACTGGCCAGCAATAGTGGGACTCACCTGCCTTATGAGCTGCAGTACCAGGGCTGGCCAGCGGGTGCTCCCAGCAATCAGAGACTCAACCTTGCAGCCAGTCAAACACCTGGAACTAATTTATACTGGTGTATTTAAGGGACATTCAGACCTGCAGACTCTGCCTTGGTGTTGTGTTTCTCCTGGGCCCTGTTTCCCTGTTCCTGTCTGATTCTCTGCTGACCCTGCTCTGATCCCTGGCTTGTCTGACCATTCTCCTGCTCCTGATCCCTGGCTTGTCTGACCATTCTCCTCTGCCTGACCCTCTGTACCATGCTGCCCGCTACCTGCTGAACCTGGCTTGTGACCCCGACCATTCTCCGCTTGCTCCCCCTGTACCTACCTGCCCGATTGATATTGACCCGGGCCTGCCTGACGACGCTTGCATTGTATGTACTGTTATCTGTGGGTGGTTGGGTTTGGTTTGTTTGCACTGTGTTATGTTTTAGTATTGCACTGCGTTTATGTTTGTATTGTTAGTGTTAATAAATTACATCGTTTATAACATATCTGAAGCCTGCGTTTCCCTGCGTCAGTCACACACCTCTGGTCACCCGGGAGCCCTGACATTACACCAAGGCCAATCCTGACCAGAAGTGGCTGCACAGGGAAGCCATCTTGGTTTGTTGATGGGAAGGATGGATCTGGATGAGGTTGCGTATTTATATCTGCTAGTGTTTGATGACAGGGAGTATGCTTATCAAACTCTGAAGGAGTATCCCCGGGATGAACTGCTAGAATGTATACGGCTCGCTCATGTTCTAGTAGATCAGGGCACAGAGTTCTCTGAGGTGCAGCCATTGATTCAGGTTTGTGCTGAGTTGGTTACATCTGGTACCCCCGAATGCAGGGATGAATTTTTGCCACCATTTAGTGCAGACCAGGTAGAGTCCCTGGTGTGGGTTTTATTAGAGGATGATGTGGGTTACTTTCTGGAGCGTTATTCGCATGTTCACCACAGGTAATAAGGGATTGTATAAATGCAGTGCAGTCTTTGGTCAGACAGGCTTTGTGTAAGCTCAGCTTTGTTCAAAACCCATACTGCAGACATGGACAGATTTGTTACACCCAGCCTCAGTCAGCTTACAAAGACCCAGTCCTGCTTCTAATCTATTTCCTCAAAGCTCTATTCCTGCATTCCCAACAGCTCCTCCAGTTACAGCCCAGTATACTTGGCTATCTACCCGCATGTCAGTACCCTGTTCCCACTCGCTGCACCTATCCTGCCTTTAACCCTGTAAAAAAGCCCTCTGTAGCAACTGCTCCCTCCTCTGTCCCATCCTTCAGCTCTTCTCTGTCTCCAGCTGCTCCATTCGTTTGCAGACCTGCGTTTACTTGCAGTGCTCCAGTAGTTAAAACCAGAAAAAAGCGAAAATTCTTTCCAACCAATACCATCCTGTCAGTATCCAAACTGGTGAACCTGCCTTCCGTGGTTCAGCCTGAAGCCTCTACTCAGCCTGAATCCTCTACTCAGCCTGAATCCTCTACTCCTCTACTCAGCCTGAATCCTCTACTCAGCCTGAATCCTCGACTCAGCCTGAATCCTCGACTCAGCCTGATGCCTGTACTCAGCCTGATGCCTGTACGCAGCCTGATGCCTCTCTTCAGCCTGATGCCTCTACTCAGCCTGATGCCTCTATTCAGCCTGATGCCTCTATTCAGCCTGATGCCTCTATTCAGCCTGATGCCTCTACTCAGCCTGATGCCTCTACTCAGCCTGATGCCTCTACTCAGCCTGATGCCTCTACTCAGCCTGATGCCTCTACTCAGCCTGAAGCCTGTACTCAGCCTGATGCCTGTACGCAGCCTGATGCCTCTCTTCAGCCTGATGCCTCTCTTCAGCCTGATGCCTCTCTTCAGCCTGATGCCTCTCTTCAGCCTGAAGCCTCTACTCAGCCTGAAGCCTCTACTCAGCCTGATGCCTCTACTCAGCCCCTGCCTCTACTGCCTCTACTCAGCCTGATGCCTCTACTCAGCCGGATGCCTCTACTCAGCCGGATGCCTCTACTCAGCCGGATGCCTGCATTCAGCCTGATGCCTCTACCCAGCATGATGATGAACTGATCCAGCCTGACGATCCTATTAGGCCTGGTGACCCGATGCCCGCTGTCAAGCCAGACAATCCGGTACCTGGTGACCCGGTGCCCGTTGTCATGCTAGTTGACTCAGAGCCCGCTGTCGTGCCTGGTGACTCGGTGCCCACTGCCTTGCCAGATGACGCGGTGCCCGCTGGTGAGCTAAATGACCTGATGCCTGGTGACCCAGTGCCCGCTATCATACCTGGTGACCCGATGCCCGCTGTCGAGCCAGACGATCCAATGCCTGGTGACCCGGTGCCCACTGCCTTGCCAGATGACGCGGTGCCCGCCGGCAAGCCAAATGACCTGATGCCTGGTGACCCAGTGCCCGCTGTCATACCTGGTGACCCGATGCCCGCTGTCGAGCCAGACAATCCGGTACCTGATGACTCGGTGCCCGCGCTGTTGCCCGCCGCCAGTTGACTCGATGCCCGCTGTTCCGCCAGACGACTCGGTGCCCGCAGTCTTGCCAGACGACTCGGTGCCCGCAGTCTTGCCAGAGACGACTCGGTGCCCCGCAGTCTTGCCAGACGACTCGGTGCCCGCAGTCTTGCCAGTTGACTCGGTGCCCGCTGTTCCGCCAGACAACTCGATGCCCGCAGTCTTGCCAGACGACTCGATGCCCGCAGTCTTGCCAGACGACTCGGTGCCCGCAGTCTTGCCAGACGACTCGGTGCCCGCAGTCTTGCCAGACGACTCGGTGCCCGCAATCTTGCCAGTTGACTCGGTGCCCGCAGTCTTGCCAGTTGACTCGGTGCCCGCAGTCTTGCCAGACGACTCGGTGCCCGCAGTCTTGCCAGACGAATCAGTGCCCCCGCAGTCTTGCCAGACGACTCGGTGCCCGCAGTCTTGCCAGACGACTCGAAGCCCGCTGTTCCGCCAGTTGATTCGATGCCCGCTGTTCCGCCAGTTGACTCGATGCCCGCTGTTCCGCCAGTTGACTCGGTGCCCGCTGTTCCGCCAGACGACTCGGTGCCCGCAGTCTTGCCAGACGACTCGGTGCCCGCAGTCTTGCCAGAGGACTCGGTGCCCGCAGTCTTGCCAGACGACTCGGTGCCCGCAGTCTTGCCAGACGACTCGGTGCCCGCAGTCTTGCCAGACGACTCGGTGCCCGCAGTCTTGCCAGACGACTCGGTGCCCGCAGTCTTGCCAGTTGACTCGGTGCCCTCAGTCCTGCCAGTTGACTCGGTGCCCGCAGTCTTGCCAGACGACTCGGTGCCCGCAGTCTTGCCAGACGAATCGGTGCCCGCACGCAGTCTTGCCAGACGACTCGGTGCCCGCAGTCTTGCCAGACGACTCGAAGCCCGCCGCTGTTCCGCTAGTTGACTCGATGCCCGCTGTCCCGCCAGACGACTCGGTGCCCGCAGTCTTGCCAGACGACTCGGTGCCCGCAGTCTTGCCAGACGACTCGGTGCCCGCAGTCTTGCCAGACGACTCGGTGCCCGCAGTCTTGCCAGACGACTCGGTGCCCGCAGTCTTGCCAGACGACTCGGTGCCCGCAGTCTTGCCAGACGACTCGAAGCCCGCAGTCTTGCCAGACGGCTCGGTGCCCGCCAGTCTTGCCAGTTGACTCGGTGCCCGCAGTCTTGCCAGTTGACTCGGAGCCCACTGTCGTGCCTGGTGACTCGGTGCCCGCCGCTCCGCCTGGGGGCCCAAGACCTGTCGCTCCGCCTGGGGGTCCGGCACCCACCGCTCCGCCTGGGGGCCCGATGCCTGTCGCCCCGCCTGGGGGCCCGATGCCTGTCGCCCCTCCTGGGGGCCCGATGCCTGTCGCCCCGCCTGGGGGCCCGATCGATGCCTGTCGCCCCGCCTGGGGGCCCGATGCCTGTCGCCCCGCCTGGGGGCCTGGCGCTCCGCTGGGGGGCCCGGTGCCCGTCGCCCCGCCTGGGGGCCCGGTGCCTGCTGCTCTCTCGCATGGGGGCCCGGTGCCTGCTGCTCCGCCCGGTGGCCCGCTGCCTGCTGCTTCGCCTGGTAATCTGATGTGACTCTGCCCGGAGTCCAGCCCGATGTGCCTCTGCCCGGAGTCCAGCCCGATGTGCCTCTGCCCGGAGTCCAGCCCGATGTGCCTCTGCCCGGAGTCCAGCCCGATGTGCCTCTGCCCGGAGTCCAGCCCGGAGTGCCTCTGCCCGGTGTCCAGCCCGATGTGCCTCTGCCCGGTGTCCAGCCCGATGTGCCTCTGCCCGGAGTCCAGCCCGATGTGCCTCTGCCCGGAGTCCTGCCCGATGTGCCTCTGCCCGGTGTGCCGCTGCCCGGAGTCCTGCCCGGTGTGCCAGTCTTTGATATCCCGCCAGTTACCAGACCCGGGCAGTGGAACATTTTGCCCAGCTAGGACTGTTTGGAGCGTCCTGAGGCCGCTCCTTGAGGGGGGGGTACTGTCAGGAATGGACTGGCCAGCAATAGTGGGACTCACCTGCCTTATGAGCTGCAGTACCAGGGCTGGCCAGCGGGTGCTCCCAGCAATCAGAGACTCAACCTTGCAGCCAGTCAAACACCTGGAACTAATTATACTGGTGTATTTAAGGGACATTCAGACCTGCAGACTCTGCCTTGGTGTTGTGTTTCTCCTGGGCCCTGTTTCCTGTTCCTGTTCCTGTCTGATTCTCTGCTGACCCTGCTCTGATCCCTGGCTTGTCTGACCATTCTCCTGCTCCTGATCCCTGGCTTGTCTGACCATTCTCCTCTGCCTGACCCTCTGTACCACGCTGCCCGCTACCTGCTGAACATGGCCTGTGACCCCGACCATTCTCCGCTTGCTCCCCCTGTACCTACCTGCCCGATTGATATTGACCCGGCCTGCCTGACAACGCTTGCATTGTATGTACTGTTATCTGTGGGTGGTTGGTTTGGTTTGTTTGCACTGTATTATGTTTTAGTATTGCACTGCGTTTATGTTTGTATTGTTAGTGTTAATAAATTACATTGTTTATAACATATCTGAAGCCTGCGTTTCCCTGCGTCAGTCACACACCTCTGGTCACACCCGGGAGCCCTGACAGTTACATCTAAACAATTTATGTACATTATATACCCAGGTAACTATAGTTTGACACCTCAAAAAGACATAAACCAGCAGAAAACAATATTTAAAACATATCTAAAGCCATAACATCTGTTTCATTTTGAATAGAGATTGATTCACTTCTGTCAGTTTTTTTCTCCATCTCTATGCCATTAGGGAGTTTTCCCTTCACTTCCTATTATATGAATACATAGGTGTCAAGGATGCAGACATCCAACAAGGGTGATCCGATCAGTGGGCTGGTACAGGAATCAGGAATTGGACTAAATAAGGTTAAAATGAGTTTATTAAGACAAATGACACATTTCCAACACCAGTAAATCATAAACAATGCAAGTGATAAACGTGACAGTGCGAAAACCCAAAAATTACTCTATGTACAAAATGGAGGAAACACACATGGTTAGGACAGGACACAAGGGGAGCAGGAAGCAAGATACAGGGATCAGGTCACAGAAGAAGGTCTCAGAGTCAGGTACAAGGATCAGGAACAAGGATCAGGCTCAGGCAGGGACACAGCTTGCAGGAAGAATACTGAAGTACTGAACTTCAGGGACAGGATTATATACCTCCCAGCAGCCCACATCAGGTGCAGCAAAAATTACAGGTGTACCTCGGTTTACGAATTTAATGCGTTCTCTGGGACATTTTGTATTGCAAAATATTTGTAAACCGAAACGCAGTTTCCCATAGGAATGCATTGAAAACCAATTAATCCATTCCGGAGGTCAGAAAAAGTAAAAAAAAAAAGTCTTATCTGCTCAAAACTCTTTATAAAGTGCATTTTAAAGGCATAAATACTGTATAGGGACATGATTAAAAATTTCCAGAATGGCTCCAAAACTCAATGCAAAAAACCGCTCCAACACCTCCACACTTGATGCCACATGCTACCCACAGACTCCAGCATATAAACCTCCCAGGCGCAATTCATCGTAAATGCATTGAAAACCAATTAATCTGTTCCGGAGGTCAAAAAAAAAAAAAAAAAGTCTTATCTGTTCAAAACTCTTTATAAAATTCACTTTAAAGGTACGGGCGGCCGGCGCTATAAACCTCCCAGGCACAATGCATCCTGGAGAAACTTACTTCATATTGCGAAGAAATGAGTAAAAACCGAGGCATTATTTTCAATGGATTTTCTTTCTTAAACCGAAAATTACGTTAACCAAGGTATTCGTAAACTGAGGTACGCCTGTACTTGGACAGCCCAGCTGCTCGGAGACTTCTGCAGCTGCCACCGAAACTGTGCCCTTCGACTCTGGGAAGAACAGTGCCACCAGCAGGTGACCAAAGTCTTGACAGTGAAACAGGTCCAGACACTAGGATAGCTATCACCAGAGTGCAGAATTCAGGAAAGCACTGCGTGCAGGGTTCAGGGGTGCATTATGTACAGAAGGCAGATTTCAAGGGTGCGCTACACAAAGAGTGCAGGATTCAGGGGTGTGCTACATACAGAACGTAACCTTCAGGGTGCACTATGTACAGAGTGCAGAGTTCAGGGGTACACCACATATAGAGTGTAGAGTTCAGCTCTCTTTCACAGGCCTTTACCTCTGTATCCCCCATCTGGGAGCTTTGCCGCTCTTATTTGCAGCAAGATCATCTGTGGGAATCGCCATCCATGTATCGAGGAACAGATTGTGAACATAGAAGTTGCAGTCTACCACGTGATGCCCCCCTCCCAGCCATAACCACAATGCACTACCACCTGCATCTTTCTTGTCACATTGTGAGTGTAGGGCAGGGAGGAATCTGTGGAGCCCTGGGATAGGCAATCTGTCCTTGTAAGCACAGAAGCCGGGCTTCTGTGTTTATAAGTGACAGTGGTGAACAGGGAGCGGAGGGTGAGAACCAGAAAGAAGTGGTGGTTCCACCAAGTTCCTGCTGGAAAAAGCCCTGGCTATCACGGGAACACGTGCCCTCACTGGAAGATTTCTGTTCTAGGGACTACTCAAAATTGTGAGTTGTCGCTCAGTGCAACCCACTGATTGTTTTAACTCCGCTTTTTTCAAACTTTTTTCAGTTTTGTCCCTTTTAAAGTATATGCAAAATCTCAAGGCACCACAGTATAAAATGCAGAAAATGTAAATGTTACATGTAATGGGAAACTTGAGCTTTGGACTATGCACACAATCTTCTTGGTGAAATGAACAT